CTTGTAATAGTTGTAATCATCTTGATCTCCTTTTTAGGAACTTCTCTGGTCTTCACACGCTAAGCTGTCCTGTGGAGAATCTATTCTCAGGTGCTCTTGTATAATGGAATATAAATATTTAAAGAGTATCTGTTGTCTCTGCTGTGGAAGAAATCTGACCTGTTTCTGACATTGAATGATGGCAGATCCACACAAAGGCATCCCTGAATGCAGCAGCTTCATAAGATCAGGGGGAGTTTTCAGTTCCTACCTATATAAATTATCTAAACCATCATAGTTTGTTAGGGACAAAAATGTGTTTGTTAGGGATAGTTCCTCAATTTTTTTCCACTTTTATTGGTCTAAATTGGGAAGATGACAACTTTTCAAAGTTATCATATTTAATTCACTTTTCTGCATCATTTGAAATTACCTTAGTTTGAGGTTACTTATTTAAAATATGAAAGGAATTTTTTTTTTAAGAAAAGGAGTTTTGAGAAACAAGCTTTAGGAAACTTGCTGTGGTAATTCAAAGTGTCACTACTCTCAGTTAATCTGCTCATAGAGGCAAGTTAGCAGTAGGGAATATCTGTCTACATCTCAGCTGCTCTGATATGAATCCAGCTGGGTTTTTTTTTAGCTTAAGCTGCTGATCAAAATATGAGCTAAGATGATATGAGCCTATAAGCTGAGGTGATAGCTTCCCCGAATAAGAACAGTTGATGACTTGGGCTCCATCTCTGGAGGTGGTCACTCAGGACAGGGCAAGTGGCACGTTGGACTGCTGGGTGCCAAGACCCACTTGGGTTGAGTCACTGCCGCACTCATTCGGTTCCTCATGAGGCTCATCCTCCTTTGTTCAAGTGGTTCTTGCTGTACTGTTCCTGTAACATACAACTCAAATCATGGGTTATTTTCCCCCAAGTTTAAATCTCCTTGAGATACACACTGGATTTCCCCATCCTTCGTGCTTCCCACCAAGTGCACTTGAGCAAACATAATCCCACAAATGGCTTTGCCTTTTCCCAAAGGAGGAGTAATCTATACAGCCTTTTCCAGCCACTAACAAGCGCCAGACTCTAATATGCAGTAAAGTAAGCAAGCTCAGTGACCAGCACAGGAGCCTGCCAGTTAACAACTATAATGTGCTCAGATCAAAGCTGTTATTATCTTTAGCCCCACATTGGGCACTGAGGACTGTGGTGGGTTGACCCTGCCCAACAGCTAAACACGCACCCAGTGAGTTGCTCACTCCTCTCTCCCCCAGGATGGGGAGAAGGTAGAAGGAAGATGAGAGGACTTGTGTATAGAGATAATGGCAGTTTAATGGGGAAAGCAAAAGCTGCATGCTCAAGCAGAGCAAAAAGAGCAAAATCACTACTTCCCATCAGTGGGCAGATGTTCAGCCACTTTCTGGAAAGCAGGGCCTCAGCATGCTTCACGGCTGCTTGTGAAGACAAATGCAGTAACCATGAACATTCCCCCTTCTTCCTCTTTTCCTTGAGCTATGTTTTGCTGAGCACGACATCATATGGTATGGAATATCCTTCCCGTCAGTTGGGGCCGGCTGTCCTGGCTGTGTCCCCTCCCAACCTCTTGCCCACTCCAGCCTCCTGGCTGGGGGGAGAGGGGTACAGGGCAGAGTGGGAAAGAGAGAAAGCCGTCCTGTCTGTGTCTCCTCCCAACCTCTTGCCCACTCCAGCCTCCTGGCTGGGGGGAGAGGGGTACAGGGCAGAGTGGGAAAGAGAGAAAGCCTCGATGCTGTGCAAGCACTGTTCAGTAGTAACACACAAATGTTTTGGCTATCAGTAGTGTTTTAGCCAAAAATACAATTTGGCTATCAGTAGTGTTTTAGCCAAAAACACAAAGCACAGCTTTGTGCAGCTTACAGGCTGCTGTGAAGAAAATAGCAGCCAGACTTGGTACATCATCCTACCAGGAAGGTTGTGGATTTGAACTCGTGAAGTAAAGTTGCCCAAAGCTTGCTGGTGAAAGGCCTTTACCTGGACAACTACTGTTGTTTGGAGTAGGATTATTGTAGCTGAATGACTAAGGGAGTTTTAAGGCTTTTGCATCTTTGTGCACTGGACCTCATGCTTTGTGTAAGCTTCACTGTTTCATCGCTAAGTGTACATACAAAGAAATAAACATGCACATGATCATACAGTTATTCTCCATTGTTTGTTCCACAGAGCAACGTCAGAAAGAGGAATATTCTCTGTTTCTTTCTCCTGTTTGAAGAGTAGAAAGTGGGATTGTAGAATGATGGAAGTTCTTGATACTTCTATTTAATTTAATGACAATTACTAGATATTAAGGTGCCAGTTCCTCAAAGTACTCATTAGAGCACCCAGTTTCCTTGTGGGATCTTTTTGTGTAAAAGAAATTGACAGTTAAATGAATATACTTAACAGGTAGGACATTGTTTGCTTTTAATATCTTATCCTGTTATGTTCTTACAAGACTTATTTATGCTTGAAATTGGTCCTTATTTTCTGTCAGTCAGCAGAGCTGTGGGATGTGTTAGCGAGGCAAGCGCTGGAATTTCATAGCTTGATGTGTCTTACTGCTCTAACTTGCAGATTTCCTTATGTGCAGTGGTCTTGCATTATTATTTTATGTGAGTACTGTGTTGTTGCTGCCCAGATATGTAAAATGGGGGCAGATGAAGTGTGAGAGGATGGAAAAGTGAAAGGCATAATGAGGCTGTCATGGGGCTGACTGAATATGACACACTGAATAGACGGGCTGCTGCTAGGGAAATGGCTTGCCTTCGTTATACATAAGGGCTAACTATGCATTTTGTTGTGTGTTTTGGTTTTTTTTTTTTTTTTTTCTTTTTTCTTGCTAGCAGTGACCACACAACATCTGGGCCTCTGCAGTCTCTCTCCCGGTCTTCTTGGGTTGTTCTGGCCTGTCCACATTGTTTCTGTAGCTTTTGTGGCTCTGGATGGCTAGTGAAGAAGGATGTTCAGTCTAATGGCCAATTGCTGCAGCTGGCTAAAACGGTGGCAGGAACCTGTCAGGTAAATGTGAAAGTATTTTACGTTTCTGTTTTGACCTTCCCAAACTGTATTTCATGTCCTCTCATCTGTGTTTTACTTTATTTGCTACTGTAACATTCTTTCGTATTTTTTAATTCCGAGACAAAATCTGTCATTTTTTTCTCCAAGAGAGAATCAGTATGTCTTCTGAACTTACAAATGAAATGTTAATCATCCCTAATTCAGGTACTTTGTTTCTGGCTCCAGGAAAGTATAAAGTTCAAAATATTGTCCTTCACGTACTGTTTCTTCAAGTTGAGCATTATGGGGTGATGCTAGAATGTTTATGTAAAGTTTATTTGGCTTTTGTCTTATTGATTTAGTTTCTGCGTTTTCAGATTCTGAAGTGTAATGTGTTAAAACACTCTGTTGTCAAGAGTAGACTGTAGTCCCAGTGTAATACTAGTTTTCTTACTATTATCTAAGTATCTTAATACTGCATTTTGTAGGTAGCCTGGTGATCCATTCTTGCTTATGGAATTCTACTGTTCTCGTTTGTTTCTGTTACTTTTACTTTGACATCCTGCACCCTTTTCCCTCCAATTAGCAGAGATGCACAGATAGTGCATAGTTTGTTTCAAACTATTTACAAACTATAGGGAAGGGCAATAAAGGGTACACCACACTTACTTATACTTCACAGTCATGCAGGAGGATTTGCTCTTTTCTTCAATGCTATGTAGTTTAGGTTTTACAGAAGGTGCTGCTATTCAAAGAACTATATTGGATTGAATAGCTTTCTGACTTGACCAATGTATTATAAACAATTGTGAGTTTATAAATGTTCATGGCTGTTCTGATTTTAGCTTACTGTTAAAGTATAATTTACTGTGATCCTACTGTTCACTTTTAGGTTCTTTTCTCAGAGCTTTTTGGCTCTTCTGAAAGAACTTGCATAAATTATACTTCATGTATTATGCTATTATAGTTTTAAAACTGGAAATAACAATGTTTTTAGTATTCCTTCACTTAAAGGGGCATAAAATTGAGGAAATTTCTTTGACTCCTCTGAGTCTTTGTGAATAGGAGGAACAATTGAGGTATACACATAGATATGTTTTTCCTATTGCTTTGCTTAAAATCCTATCCTGGTATAAATTCTAGCCTGTATACCAGTTTGCTGATATATTGTACATACTCAGCACCACTGGTTTGCACATTAACAGTCTAGATTGCTCCTGCTTGAAACAAAGGCATGATGAGTACCAGTGCTGCTTGTTTACAGCATCTGATGTTGTCTACACAAGTGTTGTATACTGTATAGTGTTGTTCAGATGCACTGGTTGAGACAGAAATAAATTTCTAGTATAGGCACAACTTCGAGGCAGAGAGACGGTAAAAATACGGGGAATGGAAATGAAATTACAGAAATTGTTAGAGACAATGACCACACCAAAAAAAAAGGATAAAATTTACAGTACCGTGAAATTAAATTTCAGGAGGCAAATACAAGTTGAAAGCAAAATCATTGTCTCATGTGAAACTTACAGCACAACATTAGACTTCTCATTTCATACCTTGTTCTGCTGTTCTGTCTAATCGATGGTTTGACATACTGAACACCAAATACACAATTGTAACAATGCCTGCTACTTGACATACTGAACACCAAATACACAATTGCAACAATGCCTGCTACTTGGTATTTTGATACCTATTCTTTCTACTGCTTTGTGGTAAATTTGCTATGCATGTATTAAAAAAGTTAATAAAATAAGTGATGTCTAGCTAGAGGAAAAAAAGATTTGAAATATCTTTCCTTTTTTTTTTTTTCCTTATGGAGGAAGGTGACACTAATAATGGTGGGTCTTGATAATGCTGGTAAAACTGCTACAGTCCGAGGAATTCAAGGAGGTAAGCAATTAATTTGTTTATCATCTAAATGGAGCATTGAGAGAGAGAGTATAACTACTAATTTTCTATCATTTTAATTTAAAAATATTGCTTCATCCGTTAATTTATCTCTCCTTCCCATATTGTTGAAAGAAAATTTTGGTGATTGTACCACCAAAAGTGGTATGAGTGTGATTGCCAAAGTGAGCATGTCACAGGCACCATTGTGTGAAGACTTGCAGATGAGAGAAATATTAAGGGGTCTTACCTTTGAAACATAAAGATCCTGATTTTTGATATCCTGCAAGTCATGCTAGGGTGACTTAAAAAGTAGGTGTTCCCAGTCATGTGCTTTATGCTCAGGAGAAGTAGCAGAGGAAGCTCTGCATTCACTCATTTGCCACTGCACTTAACATCGTGTTGAGCTAACACAGACCAAATCAGTGGTAGTTCAACAAAGTTGCTACCGTTCTGCTATGTATTTTTCAAAGGTAATAGTATGTTATAGAGGCAAGGTAGATAGTATGGAGAGAGCTGCCTCTTAAGACATTGCACCTTGCAGCATTAGAAGCCTTAGTCCACTGAGACAGAAAAAATTAGTCCATAGAGGTGTTTAATTATCTTGGAAACACTAAGACCAAATGTTCAGAGTACCTTGTTGCATATGTGCCTTGAGTTGACCACTGTATTGTTAACGGTGCAAAATGCGAAATTGCAACAAAATCTGTTCTGGGTTCTTGTTTAAATGTCATGAGCATCATAGCCTATTTTTGGACTAGAGGAAAGGTTTTTCAGTAGTTCAATAAATAGCTGAAGGAACACTGTAACTACAAGCAAGCCGTCTGTCTCCATCAGTTGCTTTAAGTGAAAGTAAGTGTAGGACAAAAACTCTGAAGGCTGTAGACCACATTCTAATTAATAATTACTTTGAATTAATGCAATGATACAAACTATTCTGGTTAATGATGTGTTTCACATCTTAGTATGCATTAGAGAAGTCAATGGACCTGATTTTGTGTTTTTTTTCTTGTGTGCATGTGCTGAAGTTGTTTTCAGGTGACCATCCACTAACGCACATACCTCAGTAAGCCTTGTATAAAAATCAATGTTGTAAGTGTGTATAATGAGGAAAAGGTTCAAAAGAAGGAAATTGCATGTGTATGTATATAACATAAAGAATGATTCTAGTGATACATCTTTTATATCATTATTTATCACCAGAAAAGCACTAGCAATTTTCTAGGCACTTACTTCCGTAAGAGACCACTTGATTTTGGAGGGTACTTTGCACCATCCAATAACACATGCAAGTGGGATATAACTGGAGATAAAACTTGTGCTTATGAAAACAAAAATTCTGTATGGATTTTTTTTCCCTTCTGGGATTGTTTTTCTAAATAACTTTAATCTTGTGTAAGAACAAGAAAGTACTTAGTAGTGTTTTTGCAGACTTTGAGACTCCACCTCGACTTTCTGTTTACGTGTGTTATATATGTTCATGAGTTTGATAAAGTGTGAATAAAGTTATGAATATTCTCTCATTTATATTCCTGAATCTTTGCCCTGAAAATACGAGTGCTTTGCTATTTAGCCTTCCATTCTGTTTCAAAATCAACTTTAATGCCTTTATCAGCTAAACGCAACAGTTACTTCTAAAAGTCCTTTTTTTCTGGGAAAAAATGGGATAAAGATGGGTATTTCTAAAGGGAAACTCCAGAAAAAGATAGTTCTGGCCTCTGTGACTCTTTCCCAGGGCTTGAATAGTGCTTGCCTTAGAAAGCAATTGTTTTTTTCCTTAACAGAAGTTGCAGAGATTAGAACCTTCAGTTAGTCTTCAGGGTTGATAAAACCAGTATTTTTGGCTGTGCACCAGTCATACAGCCTGTAGGAGGAGACTGCAGTTATGATTGCTGGGTTTTAGCAGAAACCAGATGTATTTCAGTTCTTAGGACCCTTAAACCTAGGCAAATCAGCATGGTCACCAAAGACATATTTGCCAAAATGGATCTGCAGCTTATATGGCAGACCCTGTTTTTACATTGAAGACTGTTTATTGTTGGAGACCTGACCGTACAATAGGAGCAGATGTTTTGGCAGTATCCCCTTACATTCAGCACCATCAATAACTTTCACCCTTAACCAACCCTCATGTTTACATTGTTCTCTTGTAAGAGCACATACTTACAGCTCACAGTGCAAAATGTTCTTCAAAATAAAGTCTGCTGTGTTTTGAAGGTGTAGTTTTTCACAAATGGGGGTCCAGGACCCTTCTCTTGCTGGAGTCTTGGCTTATACCATTGTGGCCAAGGGGTCTGTTCTGAATCCCCATCTCGGCTGTGTGTGAAGGATTCTTTCAAAAAAGGAACGTGGTAGCAGAAGGCTGGTGGTGATTTAGCTTTTTCACTGCTCTTAAGAGCTCGGTGCTTTTGACCATACCTTCATTTCTTCCTCTCAACAAGCTGAATTTTACATCTGTTTCTCCTGCCTTGTGCTACCAAGCTACATAAAACAGTTGCAGAGATCCAATTAACTCACTCCTGCAGAGACAGCTTAGTGGTGTGAGGCAAGTACAGGCTTTCTTTGCCCTCCGGAAAGGAAGACAGCAAGCAAAAGTCTTAAATATAAAGTGATAGTTTTTTAGCATATTGCATGGTGAACTAAAAAACAGAAAATAAAAATAAACAGACAAAGGCCAAAACCTGATCTTGAATAAAGGGAATCAAGTAGTTTACATCTCAGAAGAATATGGTTTCAGTCACTTCATCTCAGCCCTTGGTTTGAACTTTTGAAGCTGTTTGGGCAACCATGAGGGATAAAGAATAAATCTGGTAGAGCACAAGGCTTCCCAGGTCATAACACATTAACTGTTTTGTTTGTTTTCCTTCTCAAACTTGGATTAATACCATGCAAATGCTGTGCAACTGTTCAGATGGGAGCATTGGTGGTGAGGGGGAAAGTAAAAACTGCAGTACACTGAACACCACTGCAATTTAACTGTGGTGTTAAATATTAAAAATTGCATTTTTGGCTCTTTTTTTTTTCCCCCCCTGGTGCTCCTATCTAAATTAAAGTAACTGATTGAGAGACTAGTGTGTTAATTACCGGAGGAGAGGGAAAATCTTAATGTAAAAAATATGTGGTTAGCAATATGGTGTCACTTAACAGGGAAAATTTGCTCCATGTTTTTAAAATATGAATTTTGCTACACAAATCACAATGTAAAAACCTTTTTAAATAACTAAGGACACTTTTTACTGAAGGCTTTCTTCTTTGAACTCTGGCAGAGTCTCCCGAAGATGTGGCTCCAACAGTTGGGTTTTCCAAGATTGACCTTAAACAGGGACGCTTTGAAGTCACCATCTTTGATTTGGGAGGTGGAAAACGAATTCGAAATATCTGGAGAAATTACTATGCTGAGTCCTACGGTGTAATATTTGTTGTGGATTCCAGTGACATTGCAAGAATGGAAGAAACAAAGCAAGCCATGATAGAAGTTTTAAATAGCCCTAAGATATCAGGAAAACCCGTGTTAGTGTAAGTAATGTTAATAAATGTTCTCCTAATAATCTGAAATTTTGTAAATTTTGACCTTCAATACACCTTCTAAAGAAGTATTTATGTATAGTATAAACATAAGTATAAAGTACACTAATACTACTGTAACTTTAGCACTAAGAAATATTACAATTAGTTTTACAGTATTTCTGAGGTATTTATTTATGCCAATCTTAGTATCATACTAGTGAACAAAGCCTTGTCTGTCTGTCTGTCTTTCCCTCTTGAGTTATACATGGTGATATACTGAATCCATTCACTGCATCTGACACTAGCTCTTATTTAGTCCTTCTCAGGGATATTTATTTCTCTTCTCTTTCATTAGCAGTGGAAAAATAATAAGGGTTTTTTTTAAACTCTTTAAAATTCTAATATTGCTCAAAATGGTATGATAGATTAAAGGCTTTGCAAATTTGGCATGGCAACATGGTGTAAAAATATTGTTACTATTTAGGCCTACATTTTTTTTTTTACTGAAATTTTAAATGGTTGATTAAATTCTGCAATACCAGTAATCTCTCAGCAATAAATGTCTTGTTCACTTAACACATGGTGGTGCTGCTGATACATGGTCAGCAAAATCTCATTAAAGAAGGCTTACTTTAATAGTATTTGGCATGCACTTTTGTTTCAATGCATGTGTTTTAATGAAAAAGTTTCAAAAGGTCTAGAGACATTCTTTCACAGAACAGATAGATTTATGAACTTCTCTGCTTAAAAACTAGGTTTTGTAAAATATTGGAAATAACATATTTTATTAAATTCAGCCACACAAAAGGTCTTTGACGACAAATACCCTTTTGAAGTTACAAAATAAACTATGGAAGTTTAAAATGGTTTATCAGGACAATATGTTTATGTCTGGTGGGCATAAGACCTCCATAACACAGCAATTACACAACATTTCTGTGATATCATAAAGAACCTGTAAAGCTAAGAGGAGAGGCCTCTTACTTTTAAGTAGTGGTGCTCTGGTGGTTTGAGGGTGAAACTGGCTAATCTGTTTTGATCAAGTGGAGTGTAGTTCAGCAAGCTAATAGTGTGTATGTTGAAAAATAGATTTTAACTTCCATTGCTATCTGAATGTCATTACTACAGGGAAGGCAATAAAACAACTTAATGCAGCTAGTTTCACTCAAATCTGTTCTGAAAATGCAACCATGACAGTTGACAACTGTGCAGTTTTTCTAAATAAATACAACTTTAGGTTTTTTTTAATAGAAATCACTATGCTCTAATCCTGTAATAGAGTTTATCTGGGTGGCTGGCTGTACCTGCAGAGAGCCCACTCACTTCCCTGGGACTCGATCCTGCTTTTCGATCCATGTCAGTAGCTAATCAGAAGGCAGAGTGTATTAACTGAGTCTAATGGTGACTAAACTAAGTTTGTTGATGTTATTGCCTTCTAATTGATTGAACCTCAAGCCCGTGAACAGAATTTGCTCTTGCAGTGTCCCAGTTCTGTGGAGGGATCCAGTAGTTCTTTGTTTTATGTTCCCTATATGAGCCTGCATCTTGAGTTATGAATTCTTTCCTGTCTTGTCTTTGTTTTCTGTTTGGTGTCTGTGTTCATGGCATAGCTATGCTACTTTTGGCATGTTCAAATCACGTAAACCCTAGAATTTGTTCCAGCATTTGAAGCACTACTTATATTGTGAAGCCTGCAAGTTGTGAAGCAGGAAGGCTTGATCAGTAAGCACTCGTGTTTGTGATATGAAAATTGAGTGCTTAGCAAATGAGATTAAACTGGTCTCATGCACCTTCCCTTCCCTGAAGATGCCTTTGGTGGAGATGCAAATCCCTGTCACTCACACTTGCCAAATAAGAGTTCGGTGGCGTAAACTTTTTTCCCTTGAGTCCCTAAAACTGAAAAATGAAAAAGTATCAAGAGCAGAATAAAGGAAACAGCAGATTTCCAAATTTGTGGTGAAAGTTAGCCTTTTTTAATATTATCTTCTAAGGATGTTCAACTTTTTGTTTTGTTTTGTAATATTATCTTCTAAGGATGTTCAACTTTTGTTTTGTTTTTTTAATAATGAGATACTTGGTATCCACGTAGCAATAAGTTCCCTAATATCTTGATAAGTTTCTAATTAGTGCATTTTAGTCTATGCATGTTTGTGTGAAGGGCAGTATTTACTGAAAACAATACAGTGACCTCTGAGTATTGAATCCAGGAAAGTTGAAGTTTAAGTAACTCCCTTCTCTCCCATGCTCTTGCAGTGCAGAGCAAAATCTATTTCTCTCTTCATAGAATACTGTTATAATTTCGTGCCAGAGGGGAGAGACTCCTTCTCTGTGATTTCCACACTCCACAAGTGTGTCTCTGGTCTGGACTACTGCTTTGTTCCTCCAGCACTTGAAATAAACAAGGAGAAGCAGAAAAACAGGTGTAATTTGTTTACTCTCTGCTGTCTGTAGGTGCACAGATTTCTCTGCTATGTTATTTGTATGCTTAAATAGAAAGCGCTTATTCATTAATGTTTTATTAATTACCAATTATCATCTTAAAAACTAATAAAAGAAACTAAACTCTAAAGGAATGAAAAGGAGTGAGCTATAACTTCAAAGTGTGTGTGTGCTGAAGAATGATGAAAGAGGTATTGCTGACTTGTTCAGAATGAAACAATTAAAATGTTTATACTGGATATTCATGTTTCTTTTTAAGCATAGATTGAACCAATGCACCAAAATTTCAACAGTCAGCACTGAATTTTAGGCTAATGTTATTTACCCTAACTTGTGCTGTATGCAGTATCTTATACAATGAAGTATATATAAATATGCTGTAAGATTGGATGCAGGTCCATTCTGGATTTTGAAGGCAGCAGCAGAAGTTGCTGTATATGCATCACCAGGTGTATCATTGTGTGTACCTAGCATCCGCTTGTCTTTGAAATAACCTGCTGGTTATGTGCTTTTTCCTTTTTTTTTTTTGTGTGTGTGTACTTCTGGTAGATGACAATCAAAAAGACAGAATTACTTTTTTCTTTTGCATTTATGGGCTTTCATCTATCTGGACAAAACTAATTTTGCAGTTGGATCGGGGAAAAATAAAATCTTCGTGACTGGTAGCTAGGATGGACCTTTGAAATAAACCATTGCTTACCAGACAATTAAATTCATGTATTTGTAAAGGAACACTCCAGTTATCAGGTTATCAATATCATATTTGTGGCTGTGCTCCGTAGTATTTTCCTTATTAGTTAATAAAACTTGGAAAGGAGTGATACTGAAGTTGTAGCGATGGTAAGGAGGCAGGAATTTGCCTCTGGACAGGAATTCTGATCTGTCAGAGTTCTCTTCCTAATCTGCCTTTATACCGTAGACTACCTCAGCATATATAAAAGAAAAACTTGAAACAGAAGTTGCATTCTCTGTTAGGTAAATTAATGCTTACTAGAACTTTCATCCTGTTTTACTGGTAGAGTTCCTGGTGTTCAGAACTCCACAAGGATTTGGATTAAGAGTGCTGTTGTTGAATGCTTTTAGAAAATTGGTTGTTCAATAATAATTCCAAAAGGAAATAAAATACGATTTGTATAACTCTGTACTAATTAATAAACACCTTCCTTAATATACTCACCTTTTCTGACATACCCTGACCTCTCTCACTAGTTCCTGAAGTCTTATCCTCTTTCCCCTTCCCCTTCCCCTTCCCGTTCCCCTCTTCAGCATTTCCTCTCTGGCTGGGTAAGCACATGCTGTGTTTGGTTGTGGTGCAACAAGCGAAGTACTCTGCTGTCTGTTGCCTTTGAGAATAGGTGAAGTGAATGAATCAAAACTAGTGTTGGTCTCTCTCTTCTACCCATGTGAATTTGATACAGATCAGCGGTACGGTTATTGTAGAAGCTAACTGTCCTTGCAAAAATGGTCCAAAAAAGTAGTGGGGAAAAAAGCTTTCTGCTCAGGTAAGCAAATTTTGATGTGATGTAATGGGTAAAATATATGCTGAATCATGAAGTTCCTTTATCTAAATATATCTCCTTTTTATCTTTAAAGATTTAAAAAAGAAAATAACATATGCCAATTTAGATAACTGTATGTTTCTTCCTGTAAAAAGATAATGTTGTTTATAACTATGGTGTCTGGTTCATTATAGTAAAAACGTCTCCGATGATAGTAACATTTAAATAAAAGTATTCTCCAGTTGTTTGCTGTTACATGATGGCAGGCTTGTCCACTGCTCTATATATTTGTTCAATGCTCTGTAGATTCATTCAGTTTCAAGATTTTCTCATTTGCTGATGTGGAGTTGGAGTTGTAAAGAAAAAAACAAAACCCCCAAAAAATCCCAAAAGAACCCCCCAAAAACCCCCAACCAACCAAAAAAAACCAAACCCAAATCAAAAAAGAACATACACAAAACCCCTAAGAATAGGAACAAACTTCAACAGTGATATAGTTAATGGTCACCAGGAAAGGCTTGGGAGTCTTTGACACACAGTCCTTAATGAAAGTAGACAGATGAAATGTTTTTTTTTCCATTTTGAACAGCACAGTAATTATGTGGTTTGTCTACACTGAGAAATTTAGTCATTCACTCCCTCCCCTCTCCCCGCCTTTTTTTTGTTGTTCTTTGGGTGCTGTCACCACAATGAGCCATACTGTGTATGTGGTAGCTGATTGACTTATATCTTCTTGGAGAGAAACAGTTGCGTGTCCTCCCTCTTCCTGAGATGACATGTCTGTGTAACACTGTAGTTTGGCCAGATAGTAAGGGTGTAGACCATTCCAACTTCAGCTCCTACTAATCAGGACAGGTCTCCAACACTACATCAGCAGGTCTTGCACACTATATGCCCTCATGCTAGGTCCCAAAACTTCAAGCATATGATATCAGCATGAACAATTCTTTCATGAGATGCATTACACTTATCATTATTTTGGACATGTTGAATTAAAAATAAAATAATTTTATGTATGTAAGTCCTAAGGCCAGAGGGATGTCACACCATGTCACGTGCATCCCACAAGAA